AAGCAAACGAGTCGAACACGAACACACTTTTTGAGCTCGAAATATAAACAAGCCGAACACGAGCTGAGCATGGCTTGTTTACACCCCTACATGGGAGCTCACATTGCTACCAACAGGTAAAAATGCAGTCTGGTGCAGATAGGTATTCCCATGGAAGTGGACCTTAGAAGGAAAGAGTGATCACTACAAAGCACGGTTGGTGGTGAAAGGGTATATCATGCATATGGCATCGAATATGATAAGACATTTTCATTAGTGGCAAAGACGAGCAGAATCATGACACTCGTCTCTCTAGCTATGAATGGTTGATGGGGCTTGCACCAACTAGATGTGAAGAATGTGTTTCTTCATGGGGATCTACTACAAGATGTATACATAGAGATACCTCCAGGCTTCAACACGAACCGAACAGTGGCAAGCTATATAAATTGAGAAAGTCAGTTTACGGTTTGAAACAGTCTCCTTAAGCTTGGTTTGACAGGTTCAGGAACGCAATGGTAGGCATGGGCTATCAACATATCATTGCTGGCCACAACGTTCTTTTCATGGCATGATGGTCACATTACTATTCTTGTTGTATATGTGGATGATATGATTGTCACTGGAGATAATGAGATATAGATTGCTTGATTGAAGGCAAGTTTGGGCAAAGAGTTTGAGATGAAAGACCTGGGCAACTTAGATACTTTCTTAGAATTGAGGTGGCTCGTAGAGTGGAGGGGATTGTTATATCTCAGAGGAAGTATGTGATAGACTTTCTCACAAAGACATACATGTTGGGATGCAAACTTAGAGTTTCACCAATTGATCAGGAGGGGAAAGTTAAGCGCAGAGACAGGGGATTCAATTGATCACGAGAGGTATTAGAGTTTGGTAGGTTATCTCATTTATCTGAGTCACACTCGTCCCAACATATCATTTGCAGTAAGTGTGGTGAATCACTACAGACATGATCCAAGAAAGGGTCACATGGATGCAACATATCAAATTCTGAAATATCTGAAGAGTGCTACAGGAAAAAGGTTATTCTTCAGGAAGAATGGGCATGTAAGCATTGAAGGCTATTGTGACTGTAATTGGGCATGTTGTATGAATGACAGGAGGTTCAAATTTGGTTAATACATATTCGTAGGGGACAACTTGGTCTCTTGGAAGAGCAAGAAGCAGTCAGTAGTAGCGAGGTCAACAATAAAGGCAGAGTATAGGGCATGGCCTTGGGAGTTCCTGAGATGATGTGACTGAGAGCCTTGTTGGTAGAGCACAAGATGGACCAAGGAGCTCAAATGAACTTTTGGTGCGACAATAATTTAGTGATCAGGATCGCCAACAACCCTGAGCGACATGATAGAGCCGAACATGTGGAGATTGATAGGTTCTTCATCAAGGAAAAGCTAAATAACGGGCCATTAAGCTAAGTCATGTAACAACTAGAGAGCAAGTGGCTCACTGCTTCACCAAAGGACTTAGCTCATTAGATTTGTCTAGGTTATGTGACAAGATGGGTTTATTAAATATCTTTTGTCTATCTCGAAGGGGAGTGTGTATCTAAAGTCGGTTCCTATTTGTAAACAGAAGAAGTCTAAGGATTTATTTGTAAATATTGTAAGGCCTATAGAGACCCAAGCCACTAATGAAATGGAGATGTTTTCAAGAGCACCTAATTCTTTAATTTGGTAAGTCCTTTCTTGCACCAATTCTATTATTGCTTAGTTTTTTAGTTTGATAATTTATCCAGTTAAAATTTGAATTTTACTTCAGATGTATGAACTTTCAATTGCGTCAAAAAGTTATTAGTACTATCCTTTGGTAATTGCTTGGATACTTAATTTATAAATAAGCAAATTTGTATTTGCCCAATAAGATAGCTAAAATATTGGAATATTTGCCATCTGTACGATTCAATCTCTTTTGCAAACATTTATGTTTTTTATGCAAAATTTTTCTTTTTGCTGATTAGAAGTTGGAGGTTTGCTTTATTATAATATGTCACTAAACCTTCTTAACTCCTACAGAATTATATGGCCAACAACATTTTTTAAACTTGAAAATCAAATCAAATTGGAAAAAAAATGAGTTGATCATTATAAATTCAATTTGAGATGCATTATTGTATAAACGGATCGGTCAAACCAAATCAAACACAGTTGTGATTGTTGTAAGAAAAGTATATTTTTCTTGAAATTGTTTGGGTACCATTGATTTTTTCTTCTAAAAAGGGGAACATCAATTTTCTTGTAGCAATTACCCTTTAGCAGTTTTAATTGTAAAAACTCATTATTATTGCAAAATATTGGAAAACATCTAAAAAGTTATAGCTGACTAGAAGTGTAGCAGTTACTTGGAAAACTACGCTGTGAAAAAAACTACTTTAAATGGACACATTAAACAAACATAATTTTAAAATAAAATAGAAAAAAATAAAAAACAAACAGCAAAAATGATCCCAAACAATCCCTTGTCTGGAAAAAATTGTGTTCATCGTCCGTATGCGAGCTACGTACGGATGACGGATGCGGTACACCGGCGAAAATAAAACACCACACCGGTGTATCGTGTATCGCGTCCATCTTACATAGCTCGCGTTTTCTCGTGTATGGAGTGTTTTTTTAAATAATCTTATTTTAAATAATATTGTCTTTTTTTTTATTCGAACACTTAACCAAGAAAATAATTTCATTTTTGCCCATTCGAACTTTCACAAATTTTCTCAATCTGATCCTAAATCAAGCTTTCCATGACTGATACAATGGTTTCCCATGATCTACAGCTGCTGCTGGACTTGGCTTCCTGCAGTTTTGCAATCTTAACAGTTTGAGAACACTGTTCGTGTTGGGCTTATCCATGTTTCTTGGCTTATCGATATCGCAATATTTCAAGGATTTTCAATTAGCCTACGGGTATGGCCCTGTGCATACCCGAACTAAAGCGGTATGTGAATATATAAGGGCGTTTACATTCACACCACATAATTCTTATGTATTTACATATCTAACATCCAAACTTTCACATTTACATGCATTACACTTCAATCTGTAAAATTACATAAAAAATATCATTACGACCTACCTTTTTTAAAGTGAAATTTATATTTTCATTCATAGGTTAAAAATGTAAATGTAAAGCGAAACTTACACATACAGCCTCACATTTACATGCATAATACTTCAATCTTTAAAATTACATCAAAAATATCATTATGCCCGACTTTTTAAAAGTGAAATATATCTTTTCATTTATAGGTTACGACATCTAAGTGATATAAATGTAAAATGAAACTTTCACATATAGCACACATTTTTTATGTATTTACATCTCACATCTAAACTTTCATTTTTACTTTAAATTTATGCATGAAAATATGTATTTCACTTTCAAAGAGTAGTAATAAACTTTCTTTTTATGTTTTGAGTTTTACATGTATAAACATGAAAGTTTGGGTGGGAGATATGTAAATACATAAGAATTGTTTGCTATGTATGCAAATATCCCGAATGTTACTTACCAAACTTTAGGTATTAGATATGTATATACATAAGAATTATGTATCATGTACGCAAATATCCTATGGTCGAACTGAAAATCTTTCATTCGTGCCTTTGCAGTTTAACGACATGATAGACGTGATATTTTCCTCGCCGGCGACCGTCGCCACCATCATAGCGTATTTCTTGGACAGCACTCTCTTGCGGAATAACGCGCAAGCACGGAGGGACCGCGGCTGGCATTGGTGGAAGAAGTTCAGATCTTACAAAACGGATAGAAGAAGTGAAGAATTCTATGCCCTTCCTTACAACCTCGACAAGTTCTTCCCTTCTCTCTAAAATCTCAAATCAACAAACAATGAAATATAAAAGTTGTTCAAAGCTATATGAAGCATTCTGATGAAGAAATTATTATACACCTCATATTGCAGCATTTTGATTTATGGGTTTAGGTGATAGCAGTAAATATTAATATACTTCAGCTGAAACATTACAGGCATTATATATATTAGGGGAAGGATTGTTATGTTATTTGTAAATAATACACTTGTTGCTGTGTTATGTTTGGTATGCTTCTAATTGTTTGTGAAAGTGGCTTAATTATATGATTAATGTGAAAAATAATTTTTAGATACCATAGAGTTTATGTGGTCACGCATGGGTTTAAGAAATAAAAGAAAATGCTATGTTATAGGTTGCACAGTACAGAGTATGGGTGGACTTGTTGACTAGATCATTGGTGTGAGCGCCGTGTGGCCAATCATTGATGGACTTAAATTCTTTTTCTTCTGTCTCAAAAGAACAATTCGCCGAGCTTGGTAGGATAACTCAACTAGTATTGAGCGAGCTCGATTGGAGGAGCTCACCTGGAGGCTCGGTCGGAGGAATTAGCTTGAATGCTAACGAACTTCAGAGATGTTCGTGGGGGGTCCTTCCAAGCAGCGAGAAGTTTGACAACGACTTGACGGTGGTCAATGGTGGTGGTGTTGAACTTCAGTTCATTCTCAAAGCTTCAAACTCTTCCTTATATCTCAAACTCTCCTCCCCCTCATGAGATGGGTGGGGTTCTATTTATAATATTTTGGGTGCAATTAATACAGAAATATGAACCACTTTAGTCGAATGATCCGAAGAGCTTTCTTCGATCAGACGGTGTTTGATGGACATTTGATTGCCTTAATGATGTCGGAATTGTGCGATCTTGGGCTCGTTAGATTTGTCTCGTTGATGTCGGAATAAGCTTACCAAATCGACATTTGTTCAACCTTCCAAATACACTCAGAAAGCTTGATTTGATTTGAATTAGAGCAATTTTCATATCATTCGGTCTGTCTCGTTGAACCGGTCAGTTTGACTGTAAGTTTGTTGAAATTGAAGCTCTAACTGATTTTTAATTGAAGTTTGAATATTCTTTCCTAAACTTGTTCCTTCAAGATTCGTGTGATACCTCAAGATTCGTGCAAATATTGAAATTCTGTTGGTGGCGTTTAAAAATATCTCCTAAATACTATTTTGCAGTGGAAGCACACAACTCTCTTTTGACAGTTCTAAAGAGAGCAATAGATTCATCAAGGGGAAATAAAACTAACACCGCAAATCGAGGCACCTCTTATGCAAAGGTTGGAATTTTATTAGAAACGCTAAAGTTATGCATGCTCATCTGAGATCACTCCTATGATGGGCGTGAAACTAACAATGAAGAAGATATCAATAAAATAAAGTTATTTTTCTAAAATATAAAATTATGAAAGAACAAATAAGTCCTCACTTTTCAAATCTCTAACATAGAACTGATTGTGAAAGTCATTAAGTGGAATGAAACCAAACAATTAAAAATTGAGGCGCCTTATGATGTAATTGTTGGAATTTCATTAGAAACGTTGAACTAAAGTGCGCTCATGTGAGAGCACTCTTGGGATGGGTGTGAAACTATCAATGAAAAAGATCTCAAATAAACAAAGTTATTTTTCTAAAATATAAAATTATGAAAGAGCAAATAAGTCTTCACTTTTTAAATCTCCAACTAAGAATTGATTGTGAAACCCATTAAGTAGAATGAAACAAAACTCTTAAAAATCAAGGTTCCTTTTGATGTAATGGTTAGAATTTCATTAAAAACACTAAAGTTAAGAATGCTCATGCGAGAGCACTCCTGGGATAGGTATCCTCCTAAACAAAATGTCTTTGGTTCCAAAGAAAGTCGTCGATCATATAATCATATTATATTGTATGATTGTATTGATTGATATGTAATCTTTTTTTGTATCTTAATTTTATTTGTATTTTTTAATATAATAAGTACTCCTCAAATAAGAGGATGGTTTTGCGCCTGATCATGAAAATTATCTTTACGTCCAAGTTTTCTAACACTAGATCTTGCATTGAAAAGTATGAATAGAGTTTTGACTAATAGGTGAAGAAACCTCATGGATTCCTTCTTTGCACTCGAGGATCAATTAAAAACCAATGAATGATCTTTTTGACATTATGGAGTGGAAGTAGATCTCAAGTCACATTATTCTGTTAGAACTCCCAAATCCTCTATCATAATTATGACTAATTACTTTGATTCTCCTTTACTAACAACTTCCTTAAAAGTGGATGGTTCTTGATCACTATTAGAATATAATATTAAAAACCATAAGCAAACATATGAGAACAAGAGAGATCCGCATAATAAAGAAACTGAGGGCTTGATCTGTCTTTTGACCTAGTGAAAATTAATAACATTGTTTTGTTGTTGAGAAATTAGGGCGAAGAGAAACATAAATCGACACAAATTCAGAAGAAAACACAGAGATTTAAAGAGATTCGGCAAATATGTCTACGTCATCGGGAGCAGAGCGTCGGCTTTTTCTTTTAACTTCCGAAAAATGTTACAAGACCTCTTAGGGTTACAATAGAACAAATATATATATATATATATATATATATATA